AGTGGGGAATCAAACCTGTTTCTCCCAGATTAGAATCCGAATTAGAATTTAACCGCTATATCAAACTGGCTCTCTACTGCTACTGACAGACTAACTACTGGCTTCTACTGCTACAGACAGACTAACACAGCTACACAAAAGATCTATCTCCTTTGATAGTAATTAACTGAATTGCCCTATTATAATAGAAGGATGGAACAAGACAGAAGAATCTCTCAGGTACTATTGGCTGTACTGCTCTGGACCTAAGGGACTCTGGTTACCACTGATTGCACTCCTAGAGAGGATAAAGAAGGCAGAAGAGCCTAGGAAAGGACACCTAGTAGCAGTAGAGGCCTAGATAAAGACAAGTGTTGACAGAACACTAGGAAGAGAAGAGCCTGGGACCTAAGAATATTGCATCCCAAAGTGAGAAGGTGGGTTAGGCAGAGAGTAATCTAAAGAGAGTAAAAGATAAGAACAGGGGGAAGAGTCAAGGAGGGGAAAGAAAACTGGGCAAGAAAACAGGCAAAAATAAGAGCCTATTGCAAATAGTCAATGCACATCATCTCTGCTGATCTGGAGAAAGACAACTAGGATGCTCAGATGTTATCTGGAATAGGTGCTATGAAACCAGGTAGCAACAATTCTGAATCCAGCTCAAGTGCACAAAGCATGAGGTTCAGGAAATTTCCATAAGTAAAACTGTTTGTTTGCCCATCTTTACAGATATCTGATTTTCCAGGAGGATACAGGAAGCCAGAGAGGACCTGTCAGCTGCGTAGGCTTTCCTCATCTCAAAATTCTATGAAAGTATCAGATAAATAGGTAATAACAAAGTTAGAATGAAATGGAACCTGAATAGATTCTTGCAGAGTACACTGCAGGGGCATTAGCCAGCAAAGGGGCATTAGGGGCTTTGCCCTCTATTGATTAAGGGGAGCGCCAGCACAGCTAGTGAGTCTCCGGCAAGCCCCAGTGCCAGCCAGCCAGCCATCTCTTCAGCAGTTGACTCGCTGGCTGGCTGGCACAGACACAGTGAATCAGCTCTCCAAGAGCTCTTGGAGAGCTGACTTGATGGCTGGCTGGTGCAGACATAGTGAGGCGCCCGGGTGGGCCATTCTCTAATGGCCCGCCCAGGCACCTCACTGCGTCTGCGCCAGCCAGCATGTCGGCTCTCCAAGACCTCGGAGATCCTATCCACTGGCTGGTGCACAGGCACAGACACAGTGAGGCACCAGGGCGGACAATCAGAGAATGGCCTGCCCCAGTGCCTCACTGCGCCTGCGCCTGCTTGGAGAGCCAAGGAGGCAGCCAAGCAGCAGGGCAGTGAGCACTGCTGCCACCTGGCTGCCTCCTCTTTGGCTCTCCTCGAAGGACAGTCACTCATGGTGATGTCACTAGTGATGTCACCACATTGGGGGGGGCACAACGCTCCCCCATGTCCCAAAGCGCTCCGCTGGGAAATTTCCTAGGTATAGGGCTGGTACACTGTAGGGTCAGGCAGTGGATTTTCACCTACCCATCATGTAGAAACTGGCTCAAAAGAAGTATGCAGCTATGACTTCGTATAGTTTCAGAAACGTTTGGGATACTTGGAGTAGACTGTCATATTTTAAGGAACTTCCAAGGGACAAATATATGGACATAAAGTTATATTTGGAACATAAAGGGTTGGGGAGGCTACACCTTGACCATATACATATGTTTTAAGTAGCAGTGTTCTACAAATGGCTCTGAAAAGTCTCTTCACCATGGAAGTGTTGGCACGTGAGGATAAGGCATGAGACTGGAGAATGCTGAACAGAACTGTCACATATAACATGCAGAAATTTCACAGGTGAAAGTCTATCCATCATTGCATCTCCATGCTTAGGAAAGCATTTGAATCTCAGGTTGGCATACATCAAAGTTACAGAAATGCTGTGGGGGGGGGAGTGGCAATACTGTGAACATGAAGTTGTTCAGGGCGGTGAGAACCAGGGAGGATTGTGAGGCACTCCCAAAGGGATTTGTCGAGGATGGGCGAGTAGGTGTCAATGTGGCAAATGGGGTTCAATGTGGCCAAGTGCAAAATGATGCACATTGGAGCCAAAAACCCTAACTATAAATACACGTTGATGGGGTCCGAACTGGCAGAGACTGACCAAGAGAGAGATCTTTGAGTTGTAGTAGATAACTCACTGAAAATGTCGAGACAGTGTGCGACTGCAATAAAAAAGGCCAGCGCTATGCTGGGGATTATTAGGAAGGGAATTGAAAACAAATCAGCCAGTATCATAATGTCCCTGTATATGGTGTGACCTCATTTGGAGTACTGTGTACAGAACCGCACCTCAAAAAGGATTATAGCATTGGGAAAAGTGCAGAAAGGGGCAACTAGAATGATAAAAGGTTTGGAACACTTTCCCTATGAAGAAAGGTTAAAACGCTTGGGGCTCTTTAGCTTGGAGAAATGACAGCTGAGGGGTGATATGATCAAGTTTTATAAGATTATGCATGGGATAGAGCAGGGAGAGAAAGAAGTACTTTTCTCCCTTTCTCACAATACAAGAACTCGTGGGTACTCAATGAAATTGTTAAGCAGTTAGAACGGATAAAAGGAAGTACTTCTTCACCCAAAGAGTGATTAACACATGGAATTCACTGCCACAGGAGGTGGTGGCGGCTACAAGCATGGACGGCTTCAGGAGGAAATGAGATAAGCATATGGAGCAGAGGTCCATCAGTGGCTATTAACCCAAGGTATAGGTAGGAACTCTCAGTCTGGGGCAAGTGATGCTCTGTATTCTTGGTACTTGGAGGGTGCAACAGTGGGAGGGCTTCTAGTGTCCTGGCCCCACTGCTGGACTTCCTGATGGCACCTGGTATTTTTGCCCACTGTGTGACAGAGTGTTGGATGGCCATTGGCCTGATCCAACATTGGCTTCTCTTATGTTCTTATGTACTAGCACTGAAGACCAACAAAATCCCTCCCACAGAAAACTACAGGTCCCTCCTCTGCTCAAAAGCTGTGCAACACTTCTCTATAACACTGTATATAATGCTCTATTTTGAATTGATCACATTCCACATCAGTCTTGGTCTCTGCATGTTGAACTATATCTTCTTTACATCTTCTCCCAATAAAACAGACATGCATTTTCCAATTTCTTCATGATATTTTATCACCTGTGCATCAAGATTCCCACATCCAGGTTGTAATACCTAGGTTTCTAAACATCTGTTTCTAGACAAGATCTTAACTAGCTGCTTCCTCACTTCCCTGGTTCATATCCAAGGTCAGCCATCACCAAGGCATATCTACTAAATGGTCTTCCCTGCTCTAAGTGTAGCTCAGGCCTCTGAGCAATACTTCTCACCTGCTTGTCCAATTACTTCACTCCTTTAATCACATCCTACAATACAAGTTTTTGCACCTCTTGCCTTGGACTAATCCTACTCTTTCTTCCAGCAACCCTTTATTTTACATTAACACATTGCATTTTTAATGGATGCAACTCAGCTCCATGACACTCCCATTGCCTGGCCATTTATCTTCTTCTGCAATAGCAGTCCACAGAAATCCCTCGCTAATCTCAAAAAATAAGTTTTGAGGAAGAAGATCAAGTCGAGCTTTCATTAGAGGCAACATATCAGATCAACACTGAAAAGAAACCAAATAATACTGTTACCCAAATGCATTTCAGAAAGCTGATGTTTTCTAAGGAGACGTGTCATATTTTAGCAGATACATTCATAGGAGCAACAAAGTTTTAGTTAATAATAGCCAGGTGTCCAAAAGCAAACACAATCAGCTTTTATGACATTTTGTTTAAAGGTTTATGGTGCTTTCAGGAAATAAGAACTAAAAGTAGGATATGTTTATATTAAGTTTGATTGGAGCAACAGCAAGAAAAACAGCAAAGATTGATGTCTAGAAATGCATCTTTAAGCATGATCCAGCAGAAATGTAGGCATCTTGAAGTCACACTGATTTCAGTGGAAGACCTTTAACGTGTTCAAATGGATCTTAAAAATGCTTACATTGCACTGGACTGCAATTTTTATTTCACCTACTCCCTTCATCTTAAATATATATTTTGTTAATTTAGCCTACTATTGTTTAAATATGACATCATCATGGTCAGAACACAAGCATATTTCGGAATTCTGAAGTTGACTTGATTGGACAATGTAGCATATATACATGTCCTTGCACAGATTGATATGCATGACCACACTGTAAATCTTTGTTGTTTTTCAAAAAATAAATCAGTCAGTGTTATGCAAAGGTTAGATATAAAAAGAAGCTCTGCCTGGTTGAAAAAATACGAATACATTTCTCATGTCAGACAAATGAGGTGGTCAAAATAACATTTTTCAGGGTTGGTACAGAAATAGATTTTGATGGAAAGACAGTGGATTCCACTAATAGGTTAATAGGTATATAAATAGCCTCAAGATCTTTCACCATATTCAACACAGCTGCTGCTGAGGTTTACACTATTATAAAAAGAGTACAAAAATTGAAAGGGTTGTTTTCATAATGTAGCTTTTGAGATATTCCTCTCTGAGTAAGAGCCAAACTGTGCAGTTATAATTGCAACAAATACCTGGATTTGTATCTGAAAGGCAGAAGTTGTGCCGGAACAAGTAGATGCCAAGCTAGTACATTGCTAGGACTTTAATCAGCAGGAGGTTTAAAATATCAAATCCATAATCCATTCTTAACCATCTTCTCTAATCACGGCTGATCCTTAAACACCGTGACAAATCACACCTCACCATTTCAGTCTCATGCATAACACATCTGCAGGATGCTAGGCTTGGCCTACCACCCTTTATTTCCCATGCTTTATCAGTCAAGTTCATCCTTTCAGAGAACATCACTAAACGGAAGAGGACCTGAAGTGCTTTTCTACATTTTTTTTCTTCAATGCAGAGGCCCTGCAGCGAGAAGCAAGGAGAAATAAGACAACACAAGGTGGGGAGGGGGGGTGGACAGAGAGGGAGGCAAGCAGCAAAATCGTCCTCCTCACCTCTCTCAGCTGCTCCAGCTCCTGTTTCAGGACATCATATTCCGCCTCCAGCTCGTCATACTGCTGCTTCAGGGTGAGTTTCTCTTCCAAGACCACCAGCCCATATTCCGCCGCCTGGATCTTTTCATGGGTTGTTTCCGTGAGCTCTTTGGTCAACCTCTCGATCTCGGTCTTATAGCGATCCACAGTCTCCAAGACCTCTTCTGCAGCCATAGCCTTATGGGGGTGGGGGGGATTGGTAGAGGGGGGACAAGAAAGGAGAGATGGCCAGGAGGGGAGGGACGGGTGGAAGGAAGGAAGGAAGATTGCAGGCACGGGCGGATGGGAAATTCTCCCCGGTTTGCTCCTGAGAAGCCGCCAAAGCTGGGCTCGGCTTAAGGCCAGAGGAGAGACTGCGATGCACCCTGAAGAAGAGGCGAGAAGGGGAGGGAGTCGGGGAAAGCCTTCCCGGGCTGCTGCACCATTTCTCCCTTCGGCTTGATCGGTTCCTGGTGGCTCAACCCGGCATCGCTGGTATTAAGTGAAGGAGGAGGAAGAAGAAAAAGAAGGGGGCTTTTTCTTTTTTTGCTTATTCAGAGGCACTGGTCGGCCATGTCTCCAGGGCAGCTTCACTGCAGTCTCTCAACTCTCCACCTGCTCCCCCCTTCTCTCGGCTGCAGCTTCTGTGTGTGTGCGGGTGAAGGGGGGGAAATAAATAAATAAATAATAAAGCGGCCTGCCGCCTCTGAGCGCCGTCCGTCTCCTTGGCCCCCGGGAAAGAAAGTGCGAGGGAGGGACGGCGAAAGGGGAAAGGACGCCGAGAGCATTACCACAGCGGGAAAGGCTACCGGCGGCGGACACCTCCTGAGGCAGCTTCCCCCGGCCTCCCTCTCTCGCGCCCTCTCCCTCCCTCCCGCTCCCCGCCTCTCCCTCTACAGCCCTCCCAGCGGCCGGGAAGGAGGACAGATGGGGGAGATGACAGCAGCAGCGCCGCCGCCGCCGCCGCCTCCTCGCAGCGTTTTCCTCTTCCCGCGCACTCCCGAGTACATCACACGTCCCACTTGGTTCCAAAGGGAGGGAGAGAAGAAAGGGGTTGTGATATGAAAGATAAAAGGAAGTGCTTCTTCATTCAATGAGTGGTTAGGTTGTGTGGGATTCACTGCCACTGGATTGCGGCCCCCTTGTAGTGGCTGAGGTGTTTAAATGGGAGGGTTGCCAGCTCTGGGTTGGGATGTACCTGGAGACTGGGGGGTGGAGCTTGGGGAGGGTGGGGTTTGGAGAGGGGAGAGGAGGGTCCTTAGCAGGGTATAATTCCTTACAGTCGACCCTCCAAAGCAGCCATTTTCTCCAGAGGGAACTGATCTCTGTGGTTGAAACCAGTTGTGATTCTGGAACACTTCCAGCCACCCCCTGGAGATTGGCAACCCTAGACCCAGGTTTAAACCCCTGCTGTTCAAACCCAGTTGTGGCTCTGGGACAGTTCCAGCCACTACCTGGAGAGTGGCAACCCTAGACCCAGGTTTAACCCTGCTGTTTGAAACCAGTTATAATTCTGGGCCAGTTTCAGACACAACCTGGAGATTTTCAACCCTAGACCCAGGTAACCCTTTGTGGGTAACCCTGAGCCAGTTACTCTTTCAGCTTAATTAACTTGAGGGTTTTTTTGTAAAATAGAGGAGGGGAGACCAATGTTTTGGAGAAAAGGTGGGATAAAATTGCGCTAAACAAATAAATGTGGCAATGACCTCTAGCACTGAGAACTGTAATAAGAAATTACATTTGAGGTTCGACAGAAAAGAAAAGTGTATAAAGAACTCATCTCAACACTTCAGATCAATCAAATTCAGTATACCTGGCTTTTTCCAGAAGGGGTCCAATTCAAATATAGAGATAAAAGAGAAAAAATCGACTCGGTGTTAAAAGCAGAAGAATGGTTGAAGCAATTCTTCGGACAGAAAGAGGAAGAGCAGCAAAACGGAGGAGGCCAGGCAGCCGACCTGGAAGAGACGGACAGAGACCTACTTGGAGCAGAAGGAGGCACGGCCAGAGAAGCATACGACTTGCGGCTAAAAGTTGCCAAATAGCACTTATGAACTAAAAAGATTTATGGATGAACTGGAAGAAGTCTATGTGCATACTGAGAAGAAATTAGATATATACCAAAATGGACTAACTAATCTCCTAAATTCCTTGACTTAATGAAAGCATTAATTTTTATAACTAACAGCATACTAACTGTTAATGACCCTACTTCCTTGGGTTTTTAGTTATAGTGTGGGTTTTCTTTCTTTATACTGTCTGTATCCTGGGGTTTGTTATTTTAGTTTGTTATTTTTTTTCCCTCCCCTTTTTTCTCCTTTTTTTTTTCTTCTTTCTCTCTTTTCCTTTTTGTAGTCACGTAGGTGTAATAAAAAATCAATAAAGCTACCCTTCGGGGGATTTAAAAAAAAAAAAGAAATTAGACATATTTGTGGAGAATAGATTGATCAATAGCTACTAGCAATAATGACTACAGGGAATCTTGCCTTTGAATATAGCATGTGCATCCTTTGTAATATGTGTGTATACACACACACACACCCTAATATTGCTTCTGTTTTAGTTGGTCAGCAGCCTACCAAAGACAGAAAGTCATTTCTAAGCAGTCTTGAATCCTGGCAGCCCTCATTTCACTATCAAGTATTACCTACTTATGCAGACACATACTGCTGTTTCTTTTCTTCTAACATCATTCTAGTACATCCTGTAATGGTAGTACTGGCTTGCTTTTCAACTACCAAATAAGAACATAAGAGAAGTCAATGTTGGATCAGGCCAGTGGCCCATCCAGTCCAACACTCTGTCTCACAGTGGCCAAAAATACCAGGTGCCATCAGGAGGTCCAGCAGTGGGGCCAGGACACTAGAAGCCCTCCCACTGTTGCCCCCCCCCCAAGCACCAAGAATACAGTGCATCACCTACCCAAGCCTGTGAGTTCCTATCTATACCTTGTGGCTAATAGCCACTGATGGACCTCTGCTCCATATGTTTATCCAGTTCCCTCTTGAAGCTGTCCATGCTTTTAGTAAATGCATCAATTTTTCACAGACAGCCACTATAGCATATGGGCCAAGTCACATCTTTGTGGCCATATGCAAGCTCAAGAATCCTGTCCACTACCCCCTTCAATTTTGCTAAAGAAGAACTCTCAGCTCTTGTGCAGGACTGGAAGCTAAATTTTCCATTAATAGTCATTTTTATCTCATCTTTTAAGCTGTGCCTCGTGTATTCTGCTTTATGAGTGACACATCCAATCTAGCTTCCCACGAGCAGAAATCACACATATTCAAGGAAAGATACAGACACATATTGCTGCTTTTTCTTCCCTGCCAAAAAACAGGAAGGAAGAGAGAACATAAGAAACTTGGGGAATAGGAGACAGTGACTAGGAAGTCAATGAGCCAAAGAATTGCCAGGTACTATGTCAAGAACGTGGAAAAGGTTCGCTAACCTAATAGCTACATGAAAGGGAAATTCTGCTGCCACTGAAATATTGTGAACAATTCTCGTGTAAGCTCATTAAAATAAACAGTATTGTGGCCCACAGAGACTAACAACATTTTGTTCTAGCAAAAATATTCACTATGCAGTCATTTCATGTAGGAAGTCGGAGGAAAAACAGTAAGGTCAGGGGGCCATGAAATGCAGAAAGTACAAGGTTAAATATAATTATGTAAAATCCCAGTCTTATTAACCTTTTACATAATTACATTTAACTCTGTACTTCCTGCAAAGTGATTTCCTAATGAAGATCTACTCATTCCATCTGAAGAAATGAGCTCTAGTCCTTACCAGAATAAAATTTTTCTTAGTCTGAAGCTCCTGTTTATTTTTGTTGCAATAGAATAACAAAGCTAACCCTCTAGAATCAATTGATCAGTTCTAGAAGTGCCACAAGACAGTTATTTTTGCTGCAACAGACTAACAGGGCAATCCATTGTTTTTAACGGAATTAGAAGGGTGTAACTCTGTTTAGGATTGCACTGTAACATGACCATACATCTGGAATGTAAACTATACAGATTCAGTTGATTGAGAGAAATTGTGTTAGTCTGGAGACAGGTAATAATTTAAGGAGAATTAAAAGTTCAACAGAAGTTTCATTTCAGGGGATTCTGAAGCCACGTTGAAGGCCTAGTTTCCCTTTTCCCTTTGGAGAGGGAGAGGATAGGGATAGGAATGTCAGGAAATCAGTATCAGTAGTATTTGTAGTAAAAATTACACACTGCTATCCATGATACCCTCCATCTTGCCTGGCTCTTGCTCTGATAGCCCCCACCTCCTAGTTAACAACTGCTTTTCCTAGAATAGAACACCCTCCCTCAAGCCTGGATCCACATTTCACCAATAGCCCTCCCCACCAAAAGGATTTTATGATATTTTGTTTCTAACTGTGTCTTTGGTTGTTGTAAAGTCCTTTAAGGGCAAATTTGGAGCTGAAAGCAGGATAAAAATACTAGGGATCGGCAACTAGCTCACGAACTGTAGTTTGTGATTAATTTTGGCCAGTTCGTGGTTCACAAAGTGAAGTTCGTGGCAGGTCAGTGGACATGAACTTTCCATGAACTTTCAAGCTGTTTGAACTGGAGGTTCCTGCCAGTTGGTGAACAGATACATTTCCAAACAGACTCTCTGCTCAATCTAAATGTTTACCAAACTTCAAAGCAACAGAGGAGTCAGTTTCAAACTAGTCTTGTCAGGTTCAAGAGGGATCCCCCGCTTTGCCAGCATTCCTTTGTTTCCCTTCCAATTTTCTTGCACAGAGCTTGCAAAATCTGCCCCCCCTTTGCTTGGATTTGTTGTGACTCTGTGCTTGCAATGTCAGTGGCTTTGGCTTCTGTTGGGCATTCTGTACACTGTAACTGGTTGTGCCCAACTTGCAAAATCCCCCCCTTGCTTGGATTTCTTGTGACTCTGCTCTGAGATCAGTCCTTTTAAACTTACAGTGCCACAGTGGCACTGGGTTCTGCTGGGCATTTTGTACACTGAGCTGGTTGTGCTAGGTTTACAATCCCCTTTGCTTGGATGGTGATTCTGTACTTCACATTGATCCTGTTGAGCTGGCATTGTCACAGTGGCAATGCTGGGCACTCTTGGATTGCACTGGTACTGCTGGGTACTCTGTACATTGCAGTGGTTCTGCTGGGCATGCAAAAATGCCCCCCTTCAGTTTCTGTTGCAGAGATTATTTGGCCTGGCCTTAATCCTGCTGGATTTGCACTGTTGCAGTGGCATTGGTTCACCTGGGCTTGCAAAGATGCCCCATACCTTCAGTTTCTACTGCAGAGATTCTCTGGGACTTTGCTTCTGTTCTGATGGGCTTCTATTGCGCTTGCTTTTTTGTTGTTTTTCTTCCTCCTTTGGAAACAATGGTGGGAAGGTAGAGGAGAGTGAGCCAGAGATCCCCTGTGAGTTTTGTGTCTCTAGCTTGCTGGGCAGCATTCTACCATGCCACAAACCTCACGAACTGAACTGGTTTGTTTGCCCCCTAAAAGTTTGTGATAGTTTGTGCTTCATGAACTGGGCACCCATCCGTACCCATCCCTAAAAAAGACAGACACAGGCATCTCCCATGGTGTTCACACACACATTTATCTCAGACCATTGCTGCCTCTGGTCATACAGATTTTTTGGTTTTATGAAGAAAAGCTCACAAAAATGAAGCAGACAGTAGAGGAGTAAGTCCACACATCATAAGTATTCTTTCAAACTGCCTTTACTTCAGGGGAAAAATAATCTTCAACCTTTGATAGCAACATCAAATGCTATGTGTTTATGTCATTACATATTCACTTTCTCTCCTGACAGTGAGGTAAGGCTTAAAAATCATGATGCTGCTTTGTT